GTCTCTGGATCATACTGATAGATCCAAGATTCAGCCATGGTTACCAGACGACTAAAAAAATCCTCTTCATCCTGTTCTGACAGCGTCAGCATCTGTCTTGAAAAGTCACGCCATGTTAGTTTCTGGAAAGGGGTTAGCAAACATGGAACCCAGCATGCAGACACCTTAGATGAGTACAGTTCATCATGAATAATTTTCCACACACTACCATAACAGAGACCAGTTTCATTCATGATCATTTGGATGGTTCCCATCTGTCTTCCAAGATTAAACACTCCACTTTCTTCACTGTCTTCTGGGATTAAACACTCTAATTTCTTCACTGCATCGTCCATCAGTGATGGTCTTCCAGGTCTTGGTTCGTCTGTGAGTGACATGTGACCAGTTTGGAAATTCCTTTCCACCTCACAATATGTCATAAGATGGGCAATCATTTCCATAAACTACCGTCATAATGAATTTGCCAGGCACTATTGCCCATCAAATGCAGGAACTTTATCATGCTGCAAGCCTCATTCTTTTTCATCTTACACTTCAGTCACTTCTGGCACAACCTGTAACAAAAATAAAGGACACAAAGAGCTGATTTTCTCAATATCATGCATTAGGGACCAATGATGACACTGACAAAATTTCATCAATATATACCATAATAACGTCTGAGTGATAACTATTACTTTGCGATACCCCTTCATATATTCTTTGTGGTTTGTGATTTTAGAGATTGTGGTGCATTCAAGACTTACAGAGAATGGTTTACTGTTCAAAACGGTGGGCAGCTTGTGACCCTCCATATGATGTTGGACTTAACAGCTTCTGTCAGCGCTAGCCAACTTATCTAGTGATGAGGAATGATGGGAATTGTAGTTCAGCATCTGGTTAGAAGTTGCCCATGCTAGTGCAAAGAAAGTAGAGTGGGAAATCAGATTTTTTGTTTTCTGTTTACATTCTTACCTTTTTGTATTGTTTTGGGGATATGAGACACCACTAGCTAAGCATGGCTACATGCTTGTTGTTGTGTGCCTTCACATCATTTCCAGCTTATGGCAATCCTAAGGGGAACCTGTCATGGGGTTTTCTTGGCATTTATTCAGAGGAGGTTTTGTGGCTGAGCCAGGAATCAAACCCTGGTCTCTAGAGTCGTAGTCCAGTGCTAAAACCTCTATGCCACACTGTCTCTCCTATACAGACTTACTCTGAAGAAAATCCCTCATCCTATTATCTTCAATGGGCTTTCTCCCATATAAATACATGAATATTAAATTTTCTTAGTACAATTTCTGCTTTTCTTTTCCTATTAAATCTTCCTTGCCAACAGATTTATTTCTGGCTAAATAAAAAAGGCACTGGTGTGAAAGGGATCTTGCTCCATAAACTAGCTGGATACCAGTCCATTTAGCAGCCAATAGATCGCTTGAAACTGAAGTTGGGATGTGTGCTCTGGAACTGAGAAATAAAATGAATGCTTAGAAAGTTGATGTGGTATTAATAATTGTACATTCTGAGAAATGGGGGGGAGTTTATAAAGACAAGGAATGAGTGTAAGTGCTTGAGTAATGCAGAAGTTTCTCTCCTCTCTCTTTGGGACAGTGTACACTCTGTGGTCTTATCCTCACATTCTCCCTGCCTTTTCCACGTGGCCACCTGTGTTGCATAAACTAGCTGGAGGAGCAGGTAAGGAGATGGAACTGAAATCCTCATAGAGAGTCTGCATAGCATCTTGTGGTTGGAAGTAACATATTACCAAAGGGGTTGGCAACTTCAGAGGGGCTGTCTGACAGAAGATGTCTCATCATATGAGATCCTCAGGAGAGCCCCTTCTTTCTGGCCCACCACCTTCACAGATATGATTGGTGGAGACACAAAATGAGGGTTTTTTGGTGGCTGGAACTCCCTCCCTTGGGAAGTTAGAATGGCCACTTCCTTTCTGTCCTTCTTTTGGTAGGGCAAAACTTTTAATCCAACAGACTTTTAGATGTGAATTTTAAGGAAAAAGGTTCAGAGGTGTGCTGCATAAACTGTACTGTTATTAACTGCTTTTTATTTATTTTTTAAGAGTGGGTCTGTAATTGTTTTAATTTTGTTAATAGTCTAATTATATTTTGATCTTGAATTTTTGTATGTTTTTAACTATATTGTAATTATTTTAATTTGTAAGGTGCCTTGCATTCCCATCGTAGGGAAAAGTTGCAGTATAAATAAAGATGATATTGGTATTAATAATAGATTATGCTTGATCTGGGATGTATCTTTTCCTTCTTTTTGCTTTTTTGTAACGGAAGAAAAAGGGGTGACTTTTGGAAAAATTTGCTGACATCCTAATTAATGTTATTTTCCTACAGATCTAATGCTCCCAGGGGTTATAGTGCCATCTTGTGGTCTTCCTGAGGTACATCGTGGTACTCTGTGTGCTATTACCTTGGCAAGAAACAGGTATGATTTCTCTTGGAAAAAAATGTGAAGGGGTTTTGTAACTCTGTAGATGGATTTGTACTCTGTGTTTTGAAAAGATAAACAAAAGATCAAGCCAGTTGTGGCCAACAGAAGAACAAGTTGAGGCTGAGCAAATTGTTTCGTTAAAAAAAAAATCACAAGAATGTTACCAGTTTTTTTTTTTAAAGGGATAGACTGTCTATTTCAGCAAAATAACAAGAGACATTTAATGGCACTTTTAGGACTAACCTGTTCATATTTAGTTCCTCTTTAAAATTTTTAGGTGTTAAGATTGTATGGTTCTTTGATTCTAAGCAAGTTTATGTTTAAGAAACATCCTTGTAATCCCTTACTATTGCTTTTTCTGAGTTGTCTTTTACACCACTTGAGCTCTTTTCCCCAACTGCTGTCAGCCCGTCTGAAGAATTATTTCAGTAAAATGTAAAAAAAGAAAAGAAGAAAAAGAACAACATATTTTTTTAGAAATTGAAATTTTGAAGAGTTTTGTTAGGTTCTGATAAGGCCTGTAAAGCATAAAAGCTTCTCACATGTATCTGTCAGTTTTAAGCAAATGTTTCAGTTGGGTTTGGTCATAGCTATATAGGAACGTGTGGATGAGTGTGAACATGTAAAGCTGCTTCATACTGAGCCTTCTGTTCTTTCACTGAACAGCTGGTTTTGTCACTTCCTTTTTGGTTTAAAAACAACAACAGAGCTTCCCATTTATTCTGGGGATTGTGCTTGTGTGACAGTATCCCAGTCTAATCAATCAGGGGTTCTAGTAGTACAACTGGGTTTTATGTATAATTCAGCTCACATATTATGAATCAGGTTAGCTCATGTATTATGAATCAAGTTAGAGCTTGCTTTCTCCCTCTTTGCTTTAAATGTTTTGATTCTTTTTGAACTTCTTGGTTTTTGGTTATCATAGGCTACTAAGATCCTGAGTCAGGTACACTGTAGTTAGTTCATGCTACAATATGCCAACAAATTGGAAACCATAGTTTCAGGTAATTTTCTGGTTCTTGTTCAGAGGCAAACTGTGGCTTGCAGGGATGACCACCTGAATTGACCATTAAGGTAACATCTGGTTACCACAAACTATGAAGTGTAAAATGAAATCAAAATATTCAAGCAAAAGAAATGCACATGAACCTAAAGTGCATTACAAACAGCTAGACCTCAGTTTGGCCATGATGTTTAAACCAACTGCTTTCTTGTCTGAGAGGTGGTTGTGGTTATGTGCCCTCAAATTGACTGTGACTTGTGGTGGCCCCATTATTGAAGTTTTGATTGAAGATTGAAGTTGAATCCCGACAAAATGGAGGTACTCACAGTTACAGGCCCGAAACCAGATTTGGGAATACAGTCTCCAGTCCTGGATGGAGTCACACTCTCCTCTAAGGACTGTGTTCGCAGTTTGGGGGTTCTCCTTGACTCGTCACTTCACATGACTAGTCAGGTGAATGCGGTGATCAGGAGTACCTGTTATCAGCTTCAGCTGATACGCCAACTGCGCCCTTATCTGGATGTGAGGGATCTGGAAGCTGTGATACATGCCCTGGTAACCTCATGTCTGGATTACTGCAATGGATTACTTTCTAAAAAAATATGTTGTTCTACATGGGGCTACCCTTGTGCCTAACCCGGAAACTACAACTGGTGCAGAACATAACAGCCAGGGTAATCACAGGAACATCATGGAGGGAGCACATAACACCTGTGCTTAAATCCCTCCACTGGCTACCGATTAGTTTCCAGGCGCAGTACAAGGTGTTGGTTTTGACCTTTAAAGCCCTACATGGCTTGGGTCCATCTTACCTTAGGGACCACCTCTCCCCATATGATCCCCCCCGCGCCCTTCGGTCCTCTGGGAGGAATCTGTTACAGCCAATAAAAACTACGCTGTCTCAGATCTCCCAGAGGGCCTTCTCCGCAACCGCTCGCAGACTTTGGAATGGCCTGCCGGATGAGATCCGTTTTATCACTACTCTTGCTGCTTTTAAGAAAGCAGTAAAGACGGATCTTTTTCGGCAGGCCTTCCCGGAATAACTGTCGGCTGAGAGATGAGTCCCTAATTCGTTACCTCTGATTCCTATGTTATTTTTATGTTTTGAATTATTTTTAATTTTAATTAATGTGGCATTTTTAATTGGCTTGTAGTTTAATTCTGTTTTAAGGGGATGGGAGGGTGGGATTATGGGATGAGGGAATGGTTTTTAACTCTGTTCTGTTTTTAAACTTGTTGTACCCGGTTCCGATTGCCACGCAGAGGGGCGGGCTATAAATAAAAATTTATTATTATTATTATTATTATTATTATTATTATTATTATTATTGGATTTTCTTGGCAGGATTTATTTAAAGAAGGTTTGTTATTGCCTTCCTCTAAGGTTGAGAGTTTGCAACTTGACTACGGTCATGCAGTGGGTGAATGACAATTCAAACCTGATTTCCCAGAGCTTTAGCCCAACACTCAAACCATTTTGCCATGTTGGCTCTCTTTCCAGGAGCCATGAGTACATAATCTGCTTTTGTTAAAGTAAGAATTATGCTATTTGCTTTCTGTATTCTTTTTTCTTTCTTTCTTCAGTGCACCTGTTGCCATTGGAATAGCTAACATGTCCTCTGTAGAAATGGTGACTGCTCAAATGAAAGGAAAAGGCTTCTTAGTGCTTCATACCTATATGGATCACTTATGGTGGGTGCTTAACTGAAGTGTGCATGATAGTTTACAAAAAAGGACCCGTAGGCAGCTGTGGCTAGGTGCAGTTGAATCCAGAGAACAATGCAAACTCAGACTCTTTCTTACTATGAGCTTGACCAGAACTACTGTTATAGCATAGTCTATAAATACTGTTAATTTAGGAATGAATAATACACTGCAACCAAAAGCTCTATATTCACTGTTATGCCATGATTCACCCTGAACTGTATCAAGAAGTTTTTGTCCTGAAACTTCAATGAACTCTTAGGTGGAACATGACAATTCTTTCCCGCCCTGTGACATCATTGCTGTTGTGGAGGGGCAGGTTCCTCTGAAATATCTGGCAGCCCCAATCATATCTTAAGCTTAAGTCTCCTTTCTTGTCTAAATCCATGGATGGATTACACATAATAGATTGCATACATGCATACATGCATCTATGAAATTTTAATAATTTCATAGATGACATAGTATTAGGATCTTATCTTGTGAAATGAGCCTATGTTGTGTCCTGTGTTAGACACACAATTAAGCGTTCAACCCAAAGGATGTAGGATTTGGTAGCTTTAAGCCACATCCAATCAGAATGTGGTCTTTATAGAGACTGCACAACAGGGTTTTATTTTGAGTGTGGCAGACTTGCATATTAACAATATTAAATCAGAATCATAGAACTGTACATTTGTAAGGAATGCCAAAAGTCATCCAATCAACCCCACTGTATGAAATCCATATTTAAAGCATCCCTGTATAAAAACCTCCAATAACGAAGAACCCATTACCATCTCAGGCAGTTATTCATCTGTCAAACAGCTTCTACTGTCAGAAAGAACTTCTGAATATTTAATTGAAATATCCTTTTTTTTGTCATTTGAATTCATTGGTTCATGTCTTGCTACCTGGAGCAACAGAAAACATGACAACCTTTCAGATATTTGAAGATGGCTGACATCACCAGATTTTCCAGATTGTTTTACCCATACATTTTTGGGAGTAGATGTCTTCAGATATCTACTACTGTTCCTGTTTCCTTGAAA